AAAAAAAAAACCTAAAAAAAAAACCCCAACAAAAAAACCCCGAAAGCCTCATACTCACACGAGAAGACATTTTCAATACAATACATGTACTATGATTTCCCTAGAGCGCGTCGCCCTCCGGGAATTTGGGAATGCAGGGCATGTAATAATCCCCAACCACAAATACGAGTCAAGACAAGCAGTGCCAAACGGACATAAGATGAAGCTATGTGTGTATGCATGAGCAAATACAAATGTACTATAAACAGAAATCTACTTAGAGACGGGCCCTAATCAAGACTTCCAATAACTTGGACAGTAATCTAGAACTCCCTTAAGTTGAAAAATAATTCCTATCTGGCGTTCTGTAAAGCGCCTACTTAAAAAATCGTAAGTTGCCTTTAAAGCATGTCAGCTGATGACCCTGAGTTTCTTGCCGGTCGTTATGGCTGATGAGGCCCGTCCACACAAATAAAAGCCAAAGGCAAAAGTAATATAGGACTATCCAAGACGGCATGCTGTCAAAGACTGGTCTTTGAGTGTAAGTATGTAAGCGCGTGTGTGTGTGTGTGTGTGTGTGTGTGTGTGTGTGTGTGTGTGTGTGTGTGTGTGTGTGAGAGAGAGAGAGAGAGAGAGTGTGTGTGTGTGTGTGTGTGTGTGTGTGTGTGTGTGTGTGTGTGTGTGTGTGTGAGAGAGAAAAAGAGAGAAAGAGAGTGTGTGTGTGTGTGTGTGTGTACGTGTGTGTGTGTGTGTGTGTGTGTGTGTGTGTGTGTGTGTGTGTGTGTGTGTGTGTGTGTGTGTACGAGTGTGTGCATGTATGTCCCTGTGGGTGTGTTAAAAAACTTACTGGACAATGTTTTTTTTAAAGCACCAAACCCCCCCCCCAAAAAAAAAAAAACACCCCACACCAAAAAACCCAAAACAACAAAAAAAAACCCCCACCAAACTAACAACAAAGAAACCCCAACAGCTCGTGAATACTGCCCAGCAGAGAGGTAATGGATTCAAGATAAAAACAGAAATAATCCCGTAAAACCTGTTCACCTCAGAGGTACTAGTAGACAAGCTAAAAACCTTATTATACTTATCAATACTACTCACCACAGAGGCAATCGTCTCCGTCAGTGCAACCAACTGCAGAGCCAAAGAGCTGGCCTCCACTTGAAACTTGGCACCCTGGGTGAGCATTTCGACGCCGTAGGTGCGAAGTCGGACTGCCAACGCCTGCCATTCAGCACAGGGAACTGAGGATGACTCTTGTGAGACTTTATGGCAGAGAAGGTGGGCCACATCTTCCAGCATCTCAGAGGAGAATTTGGTAGCCTCGGCAGAATCCACCTGTTGATGATCATGAGAACAAAGCAATGGGAGAGATTGAGATTGAGATTGAGTAGATGTTTTACGGCACTATCGACTCAATTTTGGTCAACAAAGCAATGGCAGAAAAACGAATACTAAAACAGAAGTACAAAACCCTAGGGGAAAATCAGTTTAGTTATTATATTTTTATTAAGTTTTTTTCGAGGATGAGAAAAAAGAGAGGGGGGGGCGCCTTGGGGGTATATTCCTTTCTTTCTTAGATCATCATCATCATTCGTCTGTTTCACCCTGGTATTGGGTGAAGGCTACCGAGAAGAACTCTCCACCTGTCTCTGTTCTGGACGAGCTTCTCCGCCACCCCCCCCCCCCTCTGCTTAGTTTCCACATGCCTGAGATCAGCCTCTAGATTTCGCTCCAAGGTGGATCTGGCCCTCCTTTCTTTCTCTTTCCCTGGGGGTTCCATCCAAGATTATGTCTTGTCCCGGTTTTTTAAAAACTGGATCGAAAAAAGCACCACCCTCCTCCAACCCAAGAACCACAGCAATAAAATTAGAGATGTAAGTGTATTGTAGAAAATCTAAACGAGACATTTTAGACAGTTTCAGAGATACCTGCCGTCTTGAAGCGCAAGCGATCGCAACGATATTATACGACTTCAATACCAAAGGAGGAAGTACAGCCTCCACCAACGACCAACTAGTTAAATATAGTTGAGGTCTACGTGTAAGCTTCAGCTTTACTACTGTTGCTGTCTGCTTCTCAAGAAACATTTCTTGCGTGCAGCAAAGCTTTAATCTCTTATTTATCACATCGTATCACTGCTCATGTCCACCACCATATATTTATTATATTCCTATCCTAAGAGTGCCCCCC